CCCTTGATGGGGTCCATGGGCCTAAGCCCCAGGAAGCTCAGAGGTTTTTAGATATTTTATTACGGTCAGATGAGCATCCAAGAGCCCGCCTTAGGGCCCTTGGTAGGGTCCAGGGGGAAGAGCACCCGGAAGCTCAGGGTTTCTAGGTATTCAATTACGGTCAGATGAGCATCCAGGGGCCCTCTTTAGAGCCCTTGATGGGGTCCAGGGGCCAAAGCCTCTGGAAGCTCAGAGGTTTTAGATATTTTATTACGGTCAGATGAGTATCCGGGGGCCCGCCTTCGGGCCCTTGGTGGGGACCAGGGGGGGAAGAGCCCCCGGAATCTCAGCGGTTTTAGGCATTTAATTACGGTCAGATGAGCATATTTGACATTGACAGGTCACTTATTTTTCTCTTTCTCTTTCTTTCTTTTTCTCTTTAAAATACTTTTTCAAAAAAGTGAGGGGGGCTCGACGTTCTACAGGCCCTGGCATGAAGGCTTTTAAATAGGCCTAAGCGTATTTTTCGCCCGACTGTAAATTCAGAAATTTCTAATTTTCCAACAAACGCATAAAAAGATATGACTTACACACAAATTGAGAAAAAATACCTGAAAATCATGTCATTTCAGAAATATTTGTAAATCACTGGTATCGAATTAGAAATACCCCCAGCAGTACGCCATTTTCAGGGGCTCATGTCTTCTCACCTCTTTAATAAAATACACACACGCTTTCCCACCCTCTCACAATATTTCCACGATATGCGCGTATAGCTATTATAAAAATCTCCATTGGTAGATATAGGTGGCATGCGGAATGTTTAGGAAATTTAATTCCTGTTAATTTTCCTTTTCTTTGAATGGAATATAATTTTTATTTGATTCAATTCAAGTGTTATTATTTCAATGACGTTTTTTGTTACAAAATACAAACCATCTTACTGCTTTACTGCTTTTCTTTTTTTTTTTTATGTAAGGGGGCGAGCGCCCCCCTGCCCCCATCTTCGGCGCCAATGCTACTACTACTACTACTACTACTATCATGTGAAGGGTGACCATCCTTGAGCTGACTCGAGGAATTGAAACAAACACCATATCATTTTAATGGCAATGAAAACAGTAAACACGGATGAATAGAAAATGAAATCGTAAGAATATAAATGAATATTGTCATAATAAATTTCATGCATTCCTTGCTCGAAACTTTTAATAATCATTTTGAACCATTCAAGCCAAGCTTCAGGCATAATAACAAATATGCAGGGTGTGTGTGTAACTGTAAAAATGCAGTTTGTGGATGTGGGTTCAAGAACAATTTATGATTATTTTATCAAAGCACTGCCAAAACGTATGATTTGCAGGTAAGGGATGGGCAAAATGATTACGATTTTATAGATAAAGAATTAAAAGAAATATTTGTTAGACCAAGAATTACTATACTCATTGGAAAACAACGAGAATTTCAATTTAAATTATTGCATGGAGCCATATACATTAATGAGCATCTTCATAGATTTGGTTTTGTTGGTGATAATTTATGTTCGTTTTGTAAGCAGGAAATAGAAACATACAAACATATCTTGCGGGAGCGTTCAAAGGATATGGCAGGCTTTAATACAACTTTTTGAGTTAGATAAAATTAAAGATTTAGAATGGCGAGATATATTTGTTGGGTTGGTAGGTAGTTCATATAAAATAAAAATGTGTAATACTATCATTTTCATGGTGAAGTATGTTACATTATGTCAAGATCGGGGGGGGGGGGCGAGTACCAACTTTAGAAAAGATGAAGAAAAAAAATTTAAGTATAGGGATGAGGAAAAGAAAATAGCAATTAAAATGGGAAAGCTGAGATCTCATTTCTTAAAGTTGGAGTCGGGATTGTTCCAGTAAAATTACCTCCAGATTTGTTTAATTTTGTTTAAATATATAGTATCTTTATAGTAGATATTCATTGATTTTAAAAACTAACTTTAGTTTCATTATTAAAACAAAATAAGACGTCATTGTATATTCAGCTGCACACACCGGGGTATGTTCGGCGTTTCAAAAAGGAACAAATGTCGTCCTTAATATCATTCCGGGGGGGTTTCAATTTCAAAGTCTGATTTCTTTGATTGTTAATTAACCCCTATCATGTGTATTAATAAACAAAAGATTTTAGTTATCAGAATCGGTTTCATATCGCCTTTTGAATGTTTGAAATGCCATCACATTTATATACACTAAACTTATTATAATCTGAGAAAAAATAGCTTTGCAATTATGTTCATTCTTTCTGGGGTGTCGTCTGCTTGGGCAGTATTGGTCCATTATGTGACGTCATTAAAACATCATTATTTTTCTGGCGAATCTCTCGTATATCCCAGATGCTATGGAGGTGGTTGCATTTGTATTTGTATAAATCTAGAACTTGTACGATGGCCATCTGTTAGCTTACCAGTTTCTAGTGATACATTAGTTGACATATTTGTGATTTTCTTTGAATTTCCACTTTAAATAAATGAGTTACTTTTTTATGAAACATGTTTGCCTAATATTACAAATGTTTGGCGGCTAAGGCCGATAAACAGTTTATTATAATCCGTTTCAGCCGTCTCATTTTAACAAACAGTTATGATTTATTGTAATGAATGGTTTAGCTTTTGATATCATGAAATATGAATAAATTTTGGGTATATATTCAGCATGTTCATATGTAGTGGGAACAAAATGCTGAAAAGTGTATGGATCAGTGAAACGTAAACGTTCTTTCGAAAGTACACGGTGGCGCTACACATAATACGAATGCAACACAGAATTAAGTGTAGAATGAACCTTTTCTTTTAAATCAGAGCATTCTTTGCATTTATGTAGGGGTGTCGTGGTCGAGTGGATATGTCAGCGGACTGTGGATCACAATGTCCACATGCCCTTTGGCAAGACATTGATCTACATTTGCCACTCTCCACCCAGGTGTTAAATGGGTACCCGGTAGGATGCGAAAGCTAATGTGGTTTGATTAGCAATGGCGCTTGTAAAATGGCGACTGGCTGGAATGCTCCCCAGGGAGTGGAGAATGTGCATACCTTGTGTGCGGGTAAGCATGAATCCGATGACCGGGGTAATAATATGTGCTGCGCCTAGGAACAAAGTATGAGGCGGATTATAAATGTGAGCTATTATTATTATTATTATTTCATGAACCTTTTAATTTTCCTTTACTTCAAGTGTCTTTTGTTGTTGATTGTTTTTTCAATTATTATTTTGTATTTGAAATCTTAAAGCATTACTATCAGACTAACGTTGTAAGATGTTCTTAATTTTGACGCCTGCGCATCCACCCCCACCCCCCTCGCCCCCTTCAACTCGAAAGGAAAAAGCAGGATATTAAACGCAGGAAATTGGCTGTAGGCGTGTTGCCACCAGGCTTTTATTTAATTGAACGGGCGAGGATGACTAATTCGAATTGAATTTGACGAAACTGTGTTGATTATTATTTTTCATTATTGTTAATTATACACGATTTAACATTGTGTAGAGACGTATGTTTGAATAATAATAAATACCATCTTGAATTGATTTCAGTTATATTGGGTTTGATTCAAATGATATAAAAGTAATTACAAAAATAAATGACATATAAGTATTAAAAACAAGAAACCATTACTTAATAATAATCCCAAAATCTCCGGTAAAGGGGTACTTTTCACACAACAAAGTCGGGCTCATAATGCACAACAAAAAAGTCGGCCCGTATTGACTTTACACACGCGTACCCTAAATAACACTGAGTGGGGGGGGGGGGGGGTAATAATAATAATAATAAAAATGATGGCTTCTTATGAAGCGCATCAGATCTGTCAGGCATGACGCCCATGGCGCTATACATACAAATGCAAAAAAGAATACCAAAGAAAGTACATGTACCATATATCTTACATGTCAGTTTACTATCTGTATAGTATACACACACGTTATTTACATGACTTGTGTATTACAAAAATATGGCAATGTATATCACATGATCCTAAATTATAAGGATTCACTGATGCATGTCAGGCCATTGTAAGCTGAATTCATAGTATGTTTAAGGTGCGTAGGAACAAAACGAACACGAAACCCATTGTATGATAAATAACAGATTGAAGCGTAAGCATTGCATGTTCGCAATTTCTAGTTAGAGCACATATTTATTTTTTGGAAAATTATAATAATTTTTTTTTTAAATTGAGGGGGGGGGGGGGTTCCTCCAAAACACACACACATACAAAAACATGAGAGGGGAGTACCCCCCCCCCCCCTGCGTACGCACCTGCATGTAGCAGTCCACGTTCTCGTCGTGCAAATCTAAAAGTACCCAATAGAAAGAGGAGGAATAAAGACATTAACCGAATCAAAGAGAAGCATGTGCCTACCAAAAACTGAAAGCAGTGGCTGTACGCGGCTTGGTAAAATTGGAATAATATCACATTCCCCAATAAGATTGTTTAAAAGATTTATTTAGAGGAATTGGGTAACTTTGTCTCAGATTCTGAAACAAAATCCTGGATTTAGCTCATGCTGCAATATTAATTATAAACATTTGGGTAAGTCAGGGACACCATGAATTTTACAAGCCGATCGCATGTCTGATTATCAAGATATTTATTTGGAAAATGAGTATGGTAAAACCAGTCACTCAAAGATTTTTAGTTTTTTGAGGCACTTCATGATAATTTTGAAGCACGAATTGGGGGGGGGGGGGGGGGTTCAATCTTACACCATGCAGACACTGAAAACACGTAGGGCCCTGCATCTCAGATTTAACAGTAGGGACTTTTAGATTTGCGTGGACTGATACGTGTGACGTCCATTCAAGGCAGTGCATTAAAAGGACGTCGATCTTAGCAATCCCCATTGCCTTCGTGCGAATCTAAAAGTCCCTATTGTTAGACAAGAGCAACTCACGATCGCATGAACAAATGAAGAGCGCCATCAACTTCTCTATGTCGTTCATTATTATATTATCCCAGGCCTATAGAGGCAGACACTTGAGTATTCCTTAAAGTGATCATTAATGTAGACAACGGTCTATGATAGTCATACATTGTTGTTGCTCCGAGACTATTCTTTCCAGAGAAGGAATCAAGAAAATCATGTTGCGTTCATCAGTGATCGCTGCTTTACCGTTTCTACTTTTTTCTTTCCTGCCATTTTCACCTGCTTACGCCAATGGTAAAGTATATGATCGTATTCTTATAGTTTATTTACTCTCTTTAAAAAAAGAGTGAATTCTCACTCTATTTTCACTTTCTTGGGAGTGACGTCCGTGATCACTTGTTTAGGAGTGAAAATTGATTGATTTTAGAGTGCTCTCTAAGAAGAAAAGAGTGAATGTTCACTCTATTTTCACTACATTTTCACTCTCCAGAGGAGTGACGTCCGTGATCACTCGATTTTTTTTTTAGAGAGTAGCATTTTGCTTGATGAGGGTTATGGGGGGGGGGGGGGGGGGTCAAAGCATCAAAAATTACGTCAGTGACCAGAATGTGTTTTTAAAGCAATTTGTTGATTCCTGACTAAATCCAAAATAATTTAATTGGAAAGTCGGTCATAATTATTGTTTTCGTCCTAATCAGAGTGCGAATTTATCCATATTCTAACTTCTATTTTGTACACAAAGATGATAACGCTCAATTCGATTCAATTGAAGGTTTATTTCGAAAAATATAGAATACACTGATGCACATGCTTCAGTTAAAAAGCTGAAATGTATGTGTTTACAACTATCGAAGATCCATATAAAAATAGAAAAGAAAATCTATTCACAAAATATATCTACATTATGTACATAGACATATCTACTATTATAATAATCATAACGACACACATTTATGATCAATGTAAGGTTCTGTTATGTTATACAGCAACACACAATGTTTATGGCAAGATCATAATCATACCCATCTTCATCATCATCAACATCATATCTTCATAGACTCATAGTTTGTTGTTGTTGTTTTAGTTGTTATGGCGTGTATCATTCATTTGTGAATGTTTACGTCCTTACTGTATAATTAGCCTTGTGTCAGACAACTTGTCCAATAAAGTCTACTACTACTATCATCAAATTTTAAGAAGATGCATCTTCTTATGGTGTTTAATAGAGTCATCGAAAATAAGTTTCTCCTCCTATTTAAGACCATGCATCGTGCCTGAACCTTAGACCAATTAGAACATGATGTGGGAAGGGTTCTGCTATGTCATGCAGGAAAACAAAAAAACATCCCCATGGCAAAGTCACCATCATCATCAGTACTATCATGATCATCATTACCATCATCATCGTCGGCATCATCTCCATTTTGTCCGTGTTGTCAATATTTGATCTTCACTACAGCCACTAATGATCTTGATGGTCTTCTTCAACATCATCATCATCATCACCACCACCATTATCATTGTTGAGTTTTATGCTAGAATTAAATGAGAGAATGCATTCTCCCCCTCTCACTCTCTCTCTCTCTCTCCCCCCTCTCTCTCTCTCTCTCTCCTTCTCTCCTCCCTCCCTCCTCCCTCCCCCTCTCACTTCCCTCCAACTTTCTTCTACCTCTCTATCTCTCTTCTTTCTCTCTCTTACCCTCTGTCATTTCCCTCCACTCTCCCTTCCGTCAATTCCCTCGACTCTTCCTCCCCCCTCTCTCTCTCTCTCTCTCTCTCTCTCTCTCTCTCCTCGCTCTCTCTCTTTCTCTTTTTCTCTCGCTCTGTTGTAGACCCATCCGCGTGCCCCGAACCATGGACTCGCTGGGAAGGCTTCTGCTACCTCCTGCAGGAGCGCACAACCCCGTGGCAAGAAGCTCAGACCAACTGCATCACCAACGGCGGCGGACTGGTCACCCTCAGCTCCCGACGGCAGCTCCACTTCTTGAGCCGTTTTGTGGAAGACCAACCCACCACCACGCCCAAGGGGACTCTCTGGCTCGGATGCAAGAGGGAGAAGGACCAGACGCTTTGGTATTGCTTGGATGGGAAGCCTCTCTATGACGGCAATCAGCATGATCATGGTAATAATGACATCATGGGCGCCACCTAAAAGTAGGGGTGTTGTTCGGAAATTTTTAGGGAACAACATTTGTATTGAAAATATTATTGGTAGTAATTTTCGTTTGTCTCGCAATGTAAGGTCAACAAGGGATCTAAAAGATCACGACGTTTCGTGCGCAGCTGCAACACTTCGTCAGGTGATAATCGATACTACATCCGCAATGAGTAATATATTTAGCAACATTTATATTGTTGCCTATTAACTTGGCACCAATTAGAGTCCGAAAGTTCACCCCTACCAGCCTCCATTTCATTTTACATTTCAACCTTGTCGACAAATGCCGAAAAAAGTTTTCATTTAGCATACCAGAACTCGGTATTGGAGACTAAACTTATAAATAGGGAATAGATGTCACACCCAGGCCTGGTCACACATTTCCACATCCCAAGTCAGGGGCGTACGCATGGGGGGGGGGGGGGGGGTTGGGGGTTCAACCCCCCCCCTTTGGTATTTTTATGTGTGTAAACCCCCCTAAAAAAAACTAAAACCCCCCCCTTTTTGTTTTGTTTTGTTTTGTTTTGTTTTTTTGTTTTTTTTCATTAAAAAAAAAAAAAAAAAAAATATGCCCACGGCTAACGTAAAGTGACCTTACCCCCTTCCCCAACGAAAAAAAAAATCCTGCGTACGCCCCTGTCCCAAGTAGCCCTACTTTCCGACCTAGTCCACAGGTCAAAGATCAGAATTTTTAAAAGAGAAAGAAATCCCAATATCTGAATATCGAATCCGTATGTGAATCTACATAGGCCTACACCTATAATAATGTGCAAAGTGTGTGTACATGGACAATAATTTGTAATAATTACAGTGGATCGGGCTGACGAAAATAAGTGCATATTTTCTTTAAAGGGATCGTTTAACAATGTTAAATCTGGGATACTCGGTCATACTTGTTATCAGTGTCTGTGATATGGTGTGATATTGAAGTCCTAAAAAAAATTGCGCTTCAAAAGGATCAAGAAGTGCCTCAAAAAGTAAAAATCTTTGAGTGACCGGTTTTACCATACTCATTTTCCCCAATAGACTGTAGTTTTATGAGAACCGTTTGGCAAACGGTTTTCAAAATTTGTAATTCCAATCGTAGATATCTTGATAATCAGACAAGCTATCGGCTTGTAAAAGCCACGGGGTTCCTAAATGACCTTAAGGTTTATAATTATCATTGCAGCATGAGCTAAATCCAGAATTTTGTTTCAGAATCTGAGTTAAAGTTACTGGATCCCTTTAAGATGAAAGGACAAAATCTGATGAAATCTCTATCTAGAGGTAAAGTATGTCCCATTTGTAGGCCAAACAAATGGAAAAGGTTAAATTAAAATGGCATTTAAAAGATAATACTAATTAAGAACTTTCCTCGAAACAGAAGGGCTTGCAAATGTCGTTTTTGTGGGAAAATAACAACCGTTAGATAGTCCTTGCCTTTCATTTTTACCATCGCAGGTGTATTTTCAGGGGTCGCGCGATCTGCGCAAGATGAGTTGAAGGGAGGACATATAAAAAAAAACTGACAGAATCTAGACTTCCCTTTCACGTGCAACACAGAACTATGATTTAATACATAGTGTGAACTACCCAAGCATCTGAAAGACGTCTTGGCAAAATAGATGAGAAATGCCGTTCTGCCCTTACGGAAAGTGAATTGGGCTGGAGCGTGTCAAATTAGGGACAGCCCCAAAAATTTACTTTAACCAAAGTAATCTAATTTATTAGATATAGTTTTATCAACCAGGGGGGGGGGGTGTTTCACAAAGACTAAGATCGACTTTAAGTTTGGCATAACTATGGCAGGCTGTTCGTGCCACTGGTTGCTCTCACTATTGGTCTCTCAAATCTCAATTATGATCTTTAGATACTATTTTTCCCTCAAATAATGAACTACCAACAAATGTAAATTCTGTGGATTTGAGACCACGATTTATACGTCCCTTGAGAAACCAATGCCAGGAATGGTTAGAGGAACCAGTGGCATGAACGGCCTGCCATATTTAAATCAAATTTAAAGTCGATCGTAGCCTTTGTGAAACACCCCAGGGCTCATATCAATAAAACCTTACTAATAAAGCCTAGTTGCCAACTAACTATGCATTATATAGTAACAGTCTATGCAATTAATTGACAACTAGCGTAGTAAGATAACCAATAGATAACCAACAGTCATTTTCAGGACTACACGCCCTCAAGAAAGATTACCGAGAGTCCTTTTCTGGACTCCTAAATCCCTCCCTCTCTCTCACATGGTACAACCGCAAGCCTACTGTATTAGTAAGGTTTTATTAATGAGGACCCTGTTCTTTGAATTATATTCTGATCAAGTTAAATTTGTATTTTAAAGTTACAATTGCTTTTGCTTTGATTTTATGCTTTGGAATATACTATAACCCTACAGTATGGGGAGATGACGAGCCTCATTTGAACGAATCTTTACCAGCTGCAGTCGTCTTGAAGACAAGAGAAGGAACAACGATGGACACCAGCCCAACCGATGATCATTACTCCATGTGTCAGAGATTGATATGTAAGTGGAAAGACAAAACAAAATAATCTCGGTATTTTGTCAATATAACTGTAGCAACAACATAAGTAACAACAACAAGATATTTATCACGTTTCCAAGTACCTTTATTTTCTTGGAGGGGCGCACAGTGGTGAGAGGCACATTTTCTATCTATACTCAATGTACTTCTATATAGGCCTATATGCCAAACTGGGTTTTTGCGAGGTTATCAGGTAATCCAGTTCCACCTTCCCCCCTCCACGATTTTGCCATTCGGTTTTGGCTCAAAGCTCCCGAAACAAACCCCCAAGCACGTCGATTTTGACCAAAAAAATCCATTAGAATGGGATGTGGGCCGATCATTTCCCTTTTATTTATTCAATTTGTCGAAAGGCTATAGAAATGCTAAATTTGTCCAACTTTCATGTCGACGTCTCACCCCCCCCCCCTCACATACACACCTCTCTAATGACACACCTGGTTACGCATAGAAAAGTAATTTAGTTCGTATTTTAATTTCTTTGTTTTTGTTTGCTGTCTTTAACAATTTTGGTATGATATTAGCGTTATAAGGCACAACAGCGTTACCTTCTCTTTGAAAACAAAATAATCGTGCAGTTTATAATCCTTGGGTCACCCCCTCTATCTATTCTCTTATTTGGCATCATCGTTTTTATCATCTTTTCAGTACACGGCTCGTCGATGAAATCGATCTCGCTTCGCTTTCATCGCGTTATCCAAAACTTCATCATAAAGGGGCACTCCATCCTGGCTACACCACAGCCCTCTAGCCGGCTGGTGTGCAGCGCGCTCTGCCTGGATACAACAGAATGCGTATCGTTCAATCTTCGGGCGGACGGGACGTGCGAATTGAATACCATGGACTGGAGACATGCCGGAGATGGTGTGTTTGCGACAGAGATCGGTGCTCAGTATTTTGAGCCAATTTATCACACGTAGGCATGTATGTTAACCACTTAAGAATGTAGATGAAGGCGATGAGGGGGCGGGTGCATTCTCTGTCTTTTTATTGTGGGGGGGGGGGGGTGAATTCGCCTATTTTTGCTGATCAGAACGGGAACACGGGGGGCACATCTCCAATTTTTACTTTCTTATTGCGTTTTTTTGCCCCCTACTCCCCCGTGATGTTGGATTGAATTATGTTACCCCTCCCTCTCCAATTACTGAGTTTTCTATCATCCCGTGAGTACATCATCATAATCATATAATTTCGAGTGCTACCCTTATAGTAGTGACGACTAAATTTGTATTTTACTGTCATCATAGACTGAAACGCCTTCGCGCAGGTATTTAAGAGAGAGGGGGGGGGGGGCATGTGTGCGCTGTTTCTGGATAATAATGGAATAAATAAAAGAACATAATTTAATCATGACGCCTTTTCCTGCACATTGGAGCATGCCTCTCCTACCATCCCAGTATAGCTTATAAATAATGTCACTTTATGTCTTATCTATCAATAAATGAAATTGCCGATGAAGCTGATCATGCCATAGAGTAGTGAATTGTGACGTCATCAAAAAAAAAAAAAAAAAAAAAAAAATCCCTTTTTGGAATTTCTTAATTTTTTCTTCATTCTCCGAAAGAGCACCATAAATAATGTTCAAATGTCGAAAACCAATTGGCTGAGATATGACCATCTGAATAAAAAGATTTCCCATGGGAACTCAGTGTTATATTAAATAATAATAATAATAATAGTAATAATTATAATAGCCTAATTAGTCCACTCCAAATTTTATTAAACCGAAACGGAAATTCTTTTTGCCAAATTGATCGTGAGCCCGGCAGCCACTGAACAGCGCCAGATCGACATTACTCTATCCCCTTATTGTTGAACGTCAAACAAAGGTAGCAACAAACTCCCATCCTTTAACGTCTTTTGGTACAACGCGCGCGGCCGGAGTTCGAACCCACGACCTCCCGGTTGTGAGGCGGACGCTCTACTGACTGAGCCAACACTCTGGTTCATAATATCAAGAGCCAGAGCAATATAATCTGAGTTCCTATAGAAAATCTATTTATTCAGAACGTCATATATCAGCCAATACTTAACATATTCAATTGGTTTTCGACATTTGGACATTATTTTTGATGCTTTTTCGGAAATTGAAAGAAAAATTGAGAATTTCCAAAAATAGATTTTTATGATGTCACAGCTTCGGTACTCTATTGTGGATTAAACTTGCTTTTAATAATAATCTCTGATATGTACAGGTAGCTTAAGGCTTACCAGCTAAAAGTACCCGAAGTATATCACGAATTACTGCATGATTAGTTAAAAGATGACGAATAAATCCGCCAAGAAAGCATGATGCAAGTAAACTAAAATTCAATTTTCTTTCTTGTATTTTCAACTATACTGTAAACTTCCCCTGCAGCTCTTGCATCAAACATGATAACCAGCTGCTTAAAAAATGTCTAACATCCTGCTGCACACACGTACAATCAATCGTTAAAACAAACATATATATTGCTCCAATTTATCACAAACTTATAATCAGTCATGGAGACCGGCGATTGTAAAGAAATGGCTATTTTCCATCGAGAGTCCGGGTGAAAAGACGTACTCCCGCTTGTTATCTCGCTAGGAAACGCCAATACCACCATGTAAACATTTTGGAAATTCAATTTCCTTTATTTAGACACGCATTTGTTTAGTAATGGACGATCCGTCAACTCTGACGTAGAGATATAACAAGAAAAGAAGGAATTAATATAAATGATGGATATACGTCGTAATATCTTTTACTCCCCCTTCTCTTTTCTCTCCCCCTCTCTCTCTCTCTCTCTCTCTCTCTCTCTCGCCCTCTCGCCCTTCCCCCTCCCTTCCCCTCTCTCTCCCCCCTCTCTCTTCCTCTCACTCTCCCTCTCTCTCTCCCTCAACCCTACGTCGGCAAAACATGGATTACGTTAAAGATAATTAAATCGTATTATATCATTAACATAATCCTCTCTCTCTTTCTCTCTATCCCCATCTCTCTCTTTTTTTCTCTCTCCACCCCGTCTCTCTCGCTCTCGCTCTCCCTCTTCCTCTCTCTCCCTCTCTCTTTCTCTCTCCCCCACTCTCACCAACTTGCGTCGGCAAAACGTGGATTATGTTAAAGATGATTAAATCTTATGTTAATGGTTTTATTCCATATTACAAATATTTCTCAAACAAAAGTAAAAAAAAAGAAAAAAAAAAAGATGACCATTGCGTTTTAAACAGGAAGACTGGAGACATGCGTAATGTGTCACATTTTGGGCTTTATTTCAATTCATCATAGCTCTATTCCTGTCAGCTCGTACATTTTAATGTGCACACTTATTTCTTTTACAAAATTAATGTGATAAACATCCATGTAATTATTTGTATATTCATATCTTTCAGAAAATACTTATTTTTTTCAACAAAATAATGAAGGTGAAAGAAATGGTTTTTATTATACGAGTTTGTAAAGGGGCAATGACATTTAAACATTCTACAACATTGTTTAAACCTTCAAAAGAAAGAAAATGAATTTAAATAAAGCAGAGCCAAAGATCATTGGCAGGGCATAGGAAGAAAATCACCTTCAATCCGTTGGATATGCAAGATTTCATCGTTACACAGAGTCCTTACATTCATATAAATAATCATGAGGGCCTCAAATCCAAAGAGCTTTATTGACATAATACACATTATTCCTCTCTCTCTCTCCCTCTCTCTCTCTTTATATATATATATATATATATATATATATATATATATATATATATATATATATATATATATATATATATATAATATCTTTTACTGTACAAGCGTGGAATTACAGGGCCTGTGTATCATCATTGTTATTCTAAACTCTTCGCGATTCTTGAAGTGAGACAAATCTTTTACCTTATACAGAAATGAGGTGATTTCAACACGGTATATGATAATACTGTATGGACCGATCAGGGCCGCATCCCCTTCCCCCTCATACCACCCCCTCCCATTCATGCCCCGAAAAGTTTCATAACGAGAGCTTAAACGACATTCTTTTTAGTAGCATTAAATTACAGGAGGCATAGATGGCTTACGAATTAATCTTTGTCTGTTAATTGAGAGCCAGAACGCCATCAACTCTATATTAAAATATACTGAGCAAATTAATGCATTTTCTTGATCAAAAACTAGACATAATTTGAGAACGCCATTGGTCGACTATCGCTGAATCTTGTGCCACCTTGCCACGATACTCCGGGGCGTATCAGACATCTCGTTCCAGTGCGCCAGTCCGTCACCGACGGCGCAATCCTTTCCGCCTAAGACGCACCGCCCGATGATGCGGTGGCTTCGGAAATGATTGATCCGAGTGCAGACCGAGAGCACGAAGCAGCATTCGGGCATTTCCGAGAGACGCATTCGGTCGATGGAGAAGGCTTCGTTAAAAACCGGAGAGCAGGAGCGTCGTACTACTTTGGTGTTCTTGTGTTTCATCACCTTGCCGCATCTCATGATGGTTATCTTCACGAAGGTGTCAAGAACTGTGAATTGATGGAAGGTTGGAAAATACAGATGAAAGACCCCACTGCACTACTTATAGCTACTTGCGCCCTCTATACAGCAAACAATACCTAATCGGTAACCATTGGTCCCCATGATCCCCTTTTTCTTATGTTAATTGAGAGCTTATTTGATGAGATTACCACCTGTCAGTGACCATGCAGGGAGGTCTAATCACTCCTGGCAAAACTAGTGCAGTGGGGCCTTTAATACTTCATTCTTACTTGATCGTCCGACCTCCATGTCGCCCCACTCTGGTAGTCGTATGTTGCGTGCTTTCATGATGATAAGGTTGACGCGTTCTGCATTGGGTAGATAGGTGAGTGAGATCATGAGGTCTCCCATTAATGCCTCGTCTTCTTCCTACATAGACAAACAAAAAAGGAAAATCAACGAAATACTTCAAACATTTGCCCGGGAATTGATACTTGGGCAATCGCCCCTATGGTAATGAGCCCCCGCCCCCTCCTCCTCCTATGTTATCTGAGGTGAGATTGGGTCATTTGAAAGGTCACGGGGGATTGTCTAGGAAAAAATTTCGGGTACAGTGTGTGCATATTGGGTAAAGGGTCGTTTCCAAAGGGGGAAGAATTTTGTTGTTGACAGAAACTTACCACTATAAAGGGCCTTTGTACATTAAAGAAACACAATTTATTATTACATATACTTGATACAATAATGTACTTTGTAAATACAAAAGTACGGTTCTTAAACATGTTTATTGGAAGGAAAGAACAGTATCTGAATCTAAAATAATTTGGCTCAACATTGCTTGTAGAGTGAAACAAGTCGGGCTGGGAGTGCCCATGAAATATTAAAATAATTTTTGAAAAATGCTTTAAAAAATGCTGTTGCCGCATCGGGATCTAAAAGGTGAACTCTATGGATGGTGGTAAATAGTTTCAATCTATAATTGTTTTCGAATGGAATGACTACTTGAAGTAATCTTTGGTTGAACTAATTTCATTATAAGACTTACTTTGTGATCTCCTGGTTGAACGAGTAGCAGGGTGATGCATCGTGATCTTGATAACAAAACTGTTATAATAACATCTATACAATTCATTGTCGTAGTCATACCTTCTCTGGTTTCTCGAGATCCCGCTGAATGACCTTGTCGTCGGCATCAGCTCCATGGTCGAGCTCGTGTTCGGATAGCGCGAAGTCGACGCACCCGACGGCGATCGGGTGAGAATACTGGTCATATTCGCACACAGTAAACTAGAGTGAGGGGGGGGGGGGATTGAAAGAAAATGAAATTCTAAGGTACAAGATGACACCATACGATGGTATGAACTTAGAACCAAGAACAGGAAAAGACGAAAGAGAAATAGAAAATAACCATTTTTTTTAAAGCAGACTGTGGGAAGGATGGGGAGGGGGAGAAGAAAGGGGAGAATGAGAAAGAAGGGGAGGAGGAGGAGAAAGAAGGGGAGGAGGAAAAGGAGGAGGATGTGGAGGAAAGGAGACCATGGAAATGTTTGTATATACTTCCTTATGTTTTTTCTTTTCAAACTTGCCGTGTTTCTTAGCGTGAAGTTTGCCATGGTGTAGTTATTGTCTTATAATTATATGGACAAATTTTGAGAGAAAATAGGAAAAAAAGAAAATTGAAAAAAAGAGGACAAGAAGAAGAACAAAAAGAGGGAGAAGAAGGAGGATTAGAAGAAGAAGAAGAAAGAAAAAGATAGAAAGAAAGACTAACGAAAGAAACTAAGAAAGAAAGAAGAAAAAAGGAAAGATAAAAGAAAAACGTGAACTGGATTAGGTAATCAAAGGAGAATCATTTCAAAAGTCCTCAATATACAAAATATTATGGGGGTGTCTGAGGGCATGCATCTGGCACTCAAATTATTGGGTGTCTCGGAGATACCCAAATATTATTTCCCCCTTTAAATTTGTTGTGTAAATCGCCGACATTTATGCACTGTGTATTTTCATGATCTTGTCAGGTGAAGAATAGATTTACATATTTGAGGAAAAATATCCCTTCCTTAAAAATTATGGCTGACACAAGATTTCATTTCTCTGCCATTCTCCGGTGTTGCCTCGACAAGGTCCGTGTATATTTTACCTTGATGCGCATCTCACTAACAGCACCGCGAGCGATGCGGAAGGAGAAGTTCTGTTTGAACTCGGGACTCCGGGTGCCATGACGGATACTCGAGTTCATCGACCTCCGCTTGTGGTCTGGATCGAGGGCGATCTTGACGAAGACATCTCCGTTTCCCTGGTCGAAATAGAAATGCAAATGTCTCAAAGAAAAGAATGTCTAGAATATAATGCTACTATGTGAAAGTGAAACAAGTAATTTCTTTTCGTAGAGTTGTCGTGGTCTAGTGAATACGCATCATCAGACTGTGAATCGCATGGCTCGCGGTCCGAGTACCACTGCAGCACTAATGGCCTTTGGCAAGACATTATTAACCTTTATTTGCCACTCTCCACCCAGGTGATGTGAAACACTTAGAAACATCAGTATTAAGTGCTATATAAATGTTACTATCATTGTTATCATTTTCATGTTATTATTTTTTTTGTTATTATTATTATCATTATTGTGATTATTATCATTATTATGTCGGACAACAAATAACTAGTTACTAGTGGCTCATTAATTTGTCAGAATAACAGATACAAAATTACAATGTAGAGTTATTGTACAAAGCCAGGAATTCGAATGTATAGTTTATTTAACGGCAAACCTGGTAGAAAATTATTATAACACGTCGTATTGTCAATGACAGCTGAAGACCACTTTAATCACATCTCATGCAAGCAATAATAACCATGTTTGACGTCTTACATCTTTCACTGGTTGAGGCAGGTTGAGTACGCTGTCGACGAATACGGTCAGAAGCTCGATCTCCGAGTCGTAGGTGACCTTGAAGGTGAGCTTGCTGATCTCCTTCTTGCCCTTCTTCTGTCTCCACTTGCCGACGAACTTGGCCGCCAGCTCCTCTCGCTTGTAGATGCCCGTGTTAAGCCTGCCGATGTGGGTCTCAACCACGTCACTGCTGGAGCTCATCGATGCCCGGGCGGCGAGGTGCTCAGGGGTTGACCGTGACCTCGACATGGAGTATAACGCCCTCTTCGACTCGGGGGAGAAATCGAGCCAGGTGCTGCTACGTTGTCTCTCCTCCGACAAGCAGCCCTTCAAAACATAGATAAGAGTTCTGTGATTGTGAGATGAGGTAAGTCATGAAACACAAAACACATGATCTACGTTGTCGTACCTCAATTGTTTATAAACCTCCACTTAGAAAGAAAAAAGAGATCATAGAATACTCGCAAACTTTTGCTCTGTTATTGATCTCCAATGCTACGTACGTACCCAGCCAATGCAATCAAATACATTTTGTTCTATTCTACTTTTGAGCATCTACGTCCGTCGCATGGAAAAAAATGTTACACTCTAAAAACACATAAGTTAAATCACCGTATCAAAGGGCCGATGAGGGACCGATTTATCAAAATGTTAGATAAATACTTTAAACATGCTGGATCCAACAACGTCACAGTTGTATCTAGCGGCATCATATTAAAAGTGTTAAATCTGGCATTCTGACAAAAAGGTAACTTCTCGACCCTTTTAAATATCGATATAATAGTTTTTAGTGTACATGTTGTAGATTTAAGAAGTCAAAAACCTGCCCTTGTGCCCCCTACAAGCATAATTGGCATAACTCAGTACACAACATATTAAAACAATTACTTAATTGTGGTATTTTAAGGCATCGTTTCCCTGTTTTTATTTAAAGCCCCACTGTCCTACTTTTAGCTAGTTGCTCCCTCTATATAGAAAACAATGCCTAATCGGTGCCTGTTGGTCCCCCATGATCCACTTTTTCATGTTAATTGAGAGCTAAGTGGGTGAGATAGCCAACTGTCAGTGACCTTGCTGTGTGGTCTAATCCCCCTGGCCAAGCTAGTACAGCCGGCCTTTAAATATTATTTTCTATCTTTCTTTCTTTTTTTCTTTCTTGTTCTTCTATTTTCTACAAAGTTCTGGATCCATCCGTTGGCTCGTTGTACTTACTTGGATCTGTTTAGGCTTGACATCAATTGGGACGCTGTGAGAACATGAAAAGGAAGACCTCATGCCCTGCCCTTGAGAATCAATAGGAGACAGCATGTAGTGAAGGTTTTCCGAGAGGGCGCTGCACAAACCTGGATAGACCGACCCTCGACGAGAATTCGGCGTCGAGGTGCTGCAGCTCACACCGGACGAAAAATCATCACTCCCGTTCCCCTTCTCGATGTCATCTACGACTTTCTCCGGTACATCGCCGCGGTTTTTCATCATACGCCTGACTTGGACGATCACGAAGACGAGCATGAAGGCAAAGACAAAGACTTCGACAAAGATGCAGATTGTGACCGCACTGGCAACTGGCACACGCACGACGTGATTCGGACCTCCGGTGTCAGGTTTCCCCGGTGTTGCCTTCATCGGTACTGCGGAGTGTAAGGCTTCGGTGCTAGGCACAGTGGTTGTGCGTGCTTTGTACGTTACCAAACCGGTGCTTGGCACAACCGAAGCCATGGTGTTTGCTCGGGAAGAGGTTGGGCCTGTGTCTCCTCTATGGTAAATCGTCAAATCCCCCTCATCTTCGACACCCTCAAAATCACTGTAAGATGTTTCCCCCAAAACTTCACCTAAGCGTCCTCTTGCTGGAGAGATGTAAGAAGATTGAGTTTCAGTTGCAGTGGTGTCACCTCCTGTTTCTCCATATTTGATCAAGTCTTGACGTAGGATATATTCCATATACCGCAAACTTTCATCATTTTCAGTTGTCTGTTGGGATAAAATAAAAACATTTGACAATGCAAAATGGTCACACAGTCACACTGCCATCTCTTTTGTGTAAAATGAGAATGATACTAACTTTCTCGTGTTAACCGCATAATATGAAGAGATATTTGTTTGTCATATTCCATGAAATAATCAGAAAGTCTAAATAAAGTAGGCCCTATTTGGAAGTGAACAAAATGAAATCGTCTATCAAATCTTGACCCATTTGATTTTGCTTTTAGATTTTAATCTAATTGCTTATAATAATAATAATATTTAGCTTTTATAAAGCGCTTAATACAATGTCTCTAAAGCTATGGTCACAAATCAGAGCGGCGACCGACCGATTAATAGCCTGCTCGGTCACCGCTGGAATTTAGGCATCGCCCAGCGATTTTTGGAGAAGTCGAGCAGGCTGTAGAGCCCCAGCGATGCCTGGGCGATGCCCTGTCGATTTCCCGTCGGTCGCCGGTCGATTTTAGGTTAAAACTGGGCGAAATCGTGGAGCTTTTCCGTGGGGTGTCCAGGCAGGGACCGACCGGTGACCCACCGATTCCCGAGCAGTCTCCCACCGGCCGCCGGCTGATTTTTAAAGATATTGCACGGCGGCCGGCCAGTGATCGGCGGGGCTCCAAAATACGATCGATGCCCGGTCGTTCGTCGCCCGGGCACCGAACTAATCGAGCGTTCGCCGCCGAGCGATTTAGGTCAAAAATCGAAGCCGATAGGTCGAAGGCTGCCGACCAGTGACCGACTGATCTCCCAGCGGCGACCGGGCGGCGACTGCTCGACACCGAGCGTAGTTTGGGCGGCGAGTGAAAGTGAGCAGGCGCCGCCCGAATTTTAACTCCGCGCTAAAACTTCAGCAGCGACCGAGCGATGCCTTAAAGACAAGCGGTGCCTGAGCGGCCGCCGCTCGGTCGCCGGGCAAAATTGGCTAAAAACTCGCCGAGCAGGCTACTTTTTGGTAATGTGACCATAGCATAAGGGCTCTACAAATATATTATTACCCCGGTCATTGGATTCAGTGCTTGCCCGCACACACTGTGCTGGGAAACATTCGAAGTAATGATTATTAATAATTACAAAACGCTTAAATACAGCCCTGGCATAGCACCTGAAGAGCTCACCGAACGATGCTGACGACATCCTATAAAGAATGAAAATAATTGCAATGCTATTCTTTCTATAATTGTAATAACTTTAGTGTATATAAATATGATGGTATTCACATCATTCAAAAGGGGATATGAAACCGATTCTAATAACTAAAATATTTTTTTTGTAAATTCACAAGATAGGGGTTAAAAAATACCACACTTTCAAATTGAAAAAAAAAAAAAAAAAAAAAAAACGGAATGATATCATGGATGACATTCGTTCCCTCTTGAAACGCCGAACATACCACGGTAAATGTAGCTGAAAATACAATGGCGTCTTATTTTGTTTACAAGCGACGGATTCCTTTGTTTCTTCGCTGCAGTTTCCTTGAAAATAATACCATCCGCGGGATTTAGAGTGAGGCAATAGAGAATAGAGTAAACATTTAGCCTGACGGTAGTGGAGTAAGAGAATTGACTGAAGAGAAGATGAAAAAACAGGCACTAAAAATGTGTGAGATGTAATGGACATCGTCTGCTTAAACGAATTCATTTGCACTGGCTGCCTGCCGTAGCAACAAAGAACAAACTCCGTTTCGTTGACGATCAGCCATGCATGAAGTCTTTCGGCTTGTTGTTAGGGCAGACAGCCTGTAAGTGGAACGGATTAGTTAAATACAATTATGGAAAGCATTACTTTAAACAAAGAGAACTTTCTCAAAAAAAGTTGTTGTTGTTGTTGTTTTAGTTTATAGGCGTTTGTCATTCAGAAGTGAATATTTACGCCATACATGGGTGTATTTACGATTCAATTAAAACATAAATAAACAATAATAATAATAATAATAATAATAATAATAATAGTAATAATAATAATAATAATAATAATAATAATTGCCTAATAGTCCACTCCAAATTTTATTAAACCGAAACGGAAATTCATTTTGCCCAATTGATCGTGAGCCCGGCAGCCACTGAGCAGCGCCAGATCGACGTAATAATAATAATAATACAATACGGTTTCCAATAAGGAGGACCCCAACATATATAACTGCAATTAGTTCCAGACGTCAATGCATCCAAGGAAAGCACTCACAAAGATTTAAAAAAAAAAACAATAAAAAAAACATTGATCCCTTATTGCATGTATAATACGACCGCAATCACAAAGAATCCACATGCGCAATCATGTACTGAAGGTTAATTCCCGCCCCATTTGTTCAAAAACTCATAAACGAATCAATTTCCTAAACTTCAATGAACTCCATATACATATCTGCGAGTCTGGGCAAGTCACTAAATAATGTGCATAATCTATTCGTATTCCATACATTAATGTTAAAGACTGGTGTACAAAGAAATGTTATGAATCACTCCAGAATTTTTCTATTTACATTTTTTACTCGACTTTGTGCAAACCTTAGTTTCAATAGGGAAATAATACTTAAAATTCAAACTGTGAAAATATTTTTAACATTCAATGAATTCGCTTGAAACACAACTCTCTGTTTCGTCACGACTATATATGATTAGAACTGCACAAGTCCACATGAAAACAGGCGACAGCGTCAAGTTAATCGTCGTAAAGATACCAGTGCAACAGTTGGCGATTGCTAGTTGCTACACGGACTAGGCTCGCCGGCATCCGAGTGCACTAGCGAAGCAGAGCATACGGTTACTGGCGAGTTAAACACTTCAATCACTAACTAAATGCTAAGTAAATATTTATCAGTTCTAATTCTTACCTTAGTTTGATCCAGCAACAAATTAAAAAAATCCATGATCTTCCGGAGTTAAGTTCTACTGCTGCCAGTTTTAACGGATCTGAATTATGTGGAAAAGTCCTGGTTACATTTCCAAAAACGCCATGTACCTGCACGCGGGGGAGTCATCCATTACCCATTCACATGTATCTTCTTTCAATAGTCCACTTTACCTATTGTGTTCAAATTCTATGCATACCTCATGAACAAAACACTCTCCCGACATCCAGTAGGCATGCCAAAGATGTGCCTTTCATAGCAACGACAAATGACTTCGATTTGGTTTCCATTATTCCATCGGGCGAATTAAATAGTTAGTCAACTCTGGTTCTGAAAAGAAAGTCAACCATTTTGGATCGGTGGCGGTCACTAGTACTCAATTTTTCCGAGAAAGGGGGGAGTAGGGGTGGCACAAGTAGGGCCCTACGCCTCTACAGTACAAAAAGATGAGTAAGTTATGAAATTACTGAAGGGTAAAAATACTGAATAGCTATAAAATCCAACCTTATTAGTAAAATTGCTCTGAAATCTGAAAGACTGCAGAAAAAAAGTTATAGATGAAGCGAAATTGTTGAAAGTTTGAAAAAATCGAACAAATAACCTGAAATTTATAATTGTTTAAATACGGAAGGGCATTTCGAATTGGCCGAATCGACATGTCCCGGTGATGTCGTGGCGGAAACTCTCCCATTTGTTCAAACAAACAAAAAATTACTTAAATGTCAATTTTTTAAAATATATTATACCCAGGAGGGTCTTTTCCTTTTAAAGGATCTCTGATAAAATGAAACCCATAATATATTTTGAGTAGGCCTTTGTGACAGAAGGGAGAAGGCGCTTAAGAAAAGAACAAACCCGTATAAAATAATGATATTTTTGTGCGCGGCAAAATGGAACAGTGGGACAGATGTCCCCGACTTCGTTAAAATTCCACTGACTAAATTGCCAATTTTAGATTCGCACAGATGAAGTGGTTTTGATATTTTTTTTGATTTGATTTTTTGATTTTTGATTTTATTCATTTTCCCACTCAAATATCCACAAATTAAAATGGGATATATAAACAATACAGTATTACAATATTATTATATATTGTAATACAAGTAACGAAATCAGTTTACGAAGTACATTTAAGTTTGAGAATAAGGCAAAATATTTTATATTGCTTGCTTTAACTGAGAGGGTAAAAAAGGGAATCTCAGAAAAGCTAGGCTTGTTAAGCGAGAGTCCTAGTATAAATTAAAGGGGGTGTAGCATTGTGTAGCGTGGAGTAAATATTCTTTAAAAAAATGAAACGCCGATAATACCAAACAACAACAAGAACATGGCAAATACTGGTTAACGCCATCTACGACTTCTTTTGGAAAACTGTACATAAACGAATGGACTTGAAGGTCGGCGCGCGCTAGCGTTCGCGAAACAGACCGAAGTTCTCCTCACGCTTCGGTTTCGCGTATGTTGCACGCACGTGAATAGCGAGCTAGTCGGCTACTACGAGTTACTGGAGCGTGCAGACGTCGCGCAGCTCAGGTAGTGAGCACTAATTTTTTAAAATTTGTTGTTGGCTCTCGAAAATTTGAAAATCGCATTTCCCATCTTTCTTTCCTTTTTACATCATTTGATACCCTTCGTTCTACATTGAAACGAAAATATTTTTACTATTCGTTGCTTCATCAAAACACTTAAGGGTTGGTTAACTTCATAAACGCATTGATAGGTAGTGAAAAACTTTCCGATTTTTCACCAATCTCCCCTTTTATAATGAAATATGTTAGGTAGTCAATACCAATATTGTAAGTTTCAATAATTTGTTGTCTGCTTAAAACTTGACAGTCTGCTCCAATTAATTCATTTACAAACAAATCTTCCACTCTTTTGATTCCAGTGTCTAAAATTAACACGGTTTTTATTTATTACAATATGTCTTTATTGGCCTGTATTGACTTTACACACCGGACTTGCATAGGGGGTGCTTTCAAAGGGAGGGAACATGCATACGCGTACCCTAAATAACACTGAGTGGGGGGGGGGGGGGGCGTAAATACATATTATTTAGTTGTACTGTTTGATGAGTCAAAATGTATACTATGAACATGACTGACAAAGAAAGCGGACAAAATATACAGTTCCTCAGGTAGACAAAGGAACATCCCTTCACTGCTATTATGTAAAAATGTGTAGAACAGGTGTCACATGCATATTCACCTTTTTACATAATAATAATAGCCTAATAGCAGTGAAGGGATGTTCCTTTGTCTACCTGAGGAACTGTATATTTTGTCCGCTTTCTTTGTCTGTCATGTTCATAGTGAAAGTGATCACTAATAATAGTAATAATAATAATAATACCAACAAATCTAATATTGACAACATTTCTGATGGAATTAATTGTACATATTATTATATCGTCTCTTACCATATTTTTGAATATTTTTCCCAATACCTTTGTTTATCATGTTTCCTTGTTGTCATTACTATTATTACTCAGTACGTGTATGTTTATCATGTAACATTTGTATGTACGAGTGGAAGACAAATCTTTGGATATGGACAATAAACTATTTACTAATACGGCTACTTATACTTCATACTCATATTGATTTAAATGTGAAATTAAGGCTGCTTAAACATAACAGATATATCTGGTAAACTTAAAAATTTAACAGCCAGAGGTATATATATATCCTATGTATATATAAATATATGCATGTATAGATCTACAGTTGGGCCTGAAAGTTTACATACACCCGATAGAAAATCAATTTACATTATCGTAACTTCACTCATTCCTGCAAATTTGATTTAGAAAGATAGACAAGTGTGGTCTCTGATTAATTTATAATCGCATATATACACCAGTATTCACTCTGACCCGACTCTGACACATTTACATGTATATAACGTGACTTCCTCATGAGAATGTATGCAGTTGTGGAAATGTGAAACAAAAGATTTTCTTCCAGGTGTATGTAAACTTTCTGGCAAAAATACACACACACGCACGCACACGCAAACGCACACACACGCAACACACGTACATACACGCACACACACACATACACTCTATCTTGTGCCCTCACCCACTTTGTCTCACTCTCTCTCTCTCTTTCTATCTCTCTGTTTCCACTTCTCTTTCTCTGTCTCTCTTTCTCTCTCTATTTCTTTCACTCTCCTATATAACCCCCTGAATATTACCAAAGTCTTTGATATGTGTAAGTCCTTCAGTCAGAGAGTATTTCTTTTATAACCTCAATAACAATGAAACAAATTCAGAAAAACAAAATCTGAAAAATATGCTGCTCTTGTTATTTTAATTTGGTTATGCTTGTAGCAAAAACATAGGGAGTACAATTTGTCCATCAACAATACCACGTACTTACCAAATATACATACTGTCTATTTCTAAATGGAAAGAGACAACAGTTAATTCAATTCAATTTAATTCAATTTAGGTTTTGTTACAAATATACCAAATAAAAAGTCAAAAGACTAACAATAATTGGCTTACAATTATCATAAAAAAATGCATTAAAAACAGTAGATTTAAAAATTCAGTAATAAGTTAAAGTACATTGCTCACATTGTATCATATAAAAATGCATTAAAAAACAGTTGATTTAAAGATTCAGTAATAACTTAAAGTATGACAAAAAATTATTGTAAATTATAAAATGGTGATAATCAGAGTTAAAAGTGGAAGAGAGGGAGAGGGAAAGGATAACGAGAAAAAATAAAAGAGAGTTCAATTTATGACAACAAAATGTAAGCAAATGAACGAGAATTGAGTTGATTCAGCTTAATGAAGCATTGTAAAAGTAAAATGCACATAATACGGAAATGTCAAATGATACATTAATACGAATGCCATTATGGAATTGTTATTATACTGTTTAAAATTGATGAATGTCAATGACCTATACATATTGGTGAAAATTATTAATGAGTAATTATCATAATGTCAGAAAATTGAGAAAAGGAAATACAAGACAGACATAGAGAAACAGTGGGAGAGGGGAGAAGGGAAAGGAGAAGGAGAGAGAAAAAGCTAGAGAAAGGGAGGAAGAGAGAGAGAGAGAGAGAGAGAGACGGAGAAAGGGAGAGAGTTCGAAAATGACAATACATTGTAAACAGGTCTAACAAGATTTCAGTTGATTGAAATTAGCAAACGAACAAGAGAGGGAACTGTCGATTGTTTGTAGCGCTGGGTTCTGCAACGTGGTAGGGACAAATGATCGGAGTTTCTTAAACTACAAAATGTGAACTTCGAGACTTGTGTTTAAAATACTTTACAAAACTTTGAACAAAACAGTAAAGAGACCAGTAGTCTGTCCCAAAATAGTCATACGAATTGACCAAACAAGGTAATACTTAGACCATCCATACATTTTTTTTCGTGAAATGCAGTCTGGGGAATGACCTTGGAGTTTGTTCCCCAGAGCCTTCCAGAAGGGCATCCAAGTCAATCACATAGGGACACCGCATTAACCGATGCACCAAACTTTGTCAGGAGGAAGTTAAAGGTACCATGACACAGAAACTGGAAAAAATTATCTTAGAAGAGGATGGGTTCTTTCAACTTATCATATGATAAACATAATCCTACGTTACCCCATTTTCTTTCTACCGTTATTAAATTCAGATCGAGATATTTCAAATTACATGTCACAAATTGATAGTCTGTATAGATATAAATGAATTAAATCGAACTTAATTAAACTGAATTTGATTCAATTGAAGCGGTAATTAAAACGGAAAATACAACTACCGAATACAGATAAAATATGCAAAGTAAAATTACCAACAGTAACTTTTGCAAAGATATCATAATATTCTTCATTTACTTAAAATGCTTAATCAAGCAACACAACTTCCGACTGTTAAGCGGAGCCTAATTTCTGTTAATATATTGTTCTTCTCTACAATACAGATGTTTAATTTTTCATATCATCAGTTCCTAGAGCATTCAATTTACTGGATTTTCAGACAGAGTGCAAAGTGAATACGAAGGAATTTTCAATGAAATGTAGCAATATTTTCACCATGGTCCTGTAAGGCTTCTTATTAGAATTTGATATGATGTATTAGTCAAGATCAATGTAACATACATACGTAGAGTAAAATGATATCACAAAATAAAAACAAAATTATAATAATAATTTGACAGGATGACCATGAGTACTGAAAAGCTTTAAAAATTTATCAATTTTCAAGTTATGCATACAGTATATTATGCTATCACTTGCATCTATTTACAGCCTTTCAAGGGGTAGGTACCTCTTAAATTCAAATTAATAGTATGTCTGTATATGTTGTTATTCTTTAATTTTGCACTACCGATCATTTGTTTAGATATTCAAGAGAAAACAAGTACCCAACGTAAAAGTATATGCATATTTTACTTATTTATTACATACTATTTCGATAGAGGGAAGTTTTCATGTTATTGGATAATGGAGAATGACAACTGTATACAGGTAATGAAAATCTATTGAGAGAATGAACATCTTCTCATTCGGTTATAGTTATTACATAATAAAAATTAGAATATGAAACATTGGCCCCTTTTATAGATCTGGAGCAGAGAGGTATACACACTACAAATAATGGTATTATATAGGATGTGAGATGGATTACAGTGATACTTTGATAAAATACAACTTATTGTGACTAGCAAACGCGAGTATGTCTGGAGAGGGGGAAACCAAGTAACACCAATCAGAACCAATCGTCAAAGTAAGTGCATTGAACTCAACTCTCTCCTTCAGGTTCAGACCATCAAGGTCATAGAGCCTGATCACCACGTTACCTTTCATACGATCTACACTCGCTACATACACCTTGTCCTGCTCATCCAGGGCAGCAAACAGGTATATATCGTTTGGAGCTTGTAGAGACTTACCAGCATTCCCATCCCTGTCATAGACCGTCACCAAGCTTGGATCGGGGTAATTACATGAACTCGTGACGATCAAACCCGACTTTGTGCCAGATACCTGCCTCGTATTGTTGTGTTTTGTTGGAACAGCGTGTTTGAGAGTGGATCCAGTCGGGTCATAAATAGAGACTTGATTCTCATTGGTAGCGATAAGGATTTCATCTGATGGACTTCTGTTTAGTCTGAGAAAGCCACTGCGGTTCACGCGGATGGTTGATTTCGTGGAGCCATTGGGAGAATATATGTGTGCTTGGTTGCCACCCGGCCAAATGCATAACGACCTGTCTTGTTGAAATACAAGATCAAGACACTTCATTTGACTTGATATGTTTGCACACTGGTGCTTGTTACCAGCTGAATCAATTATATCTATACCATGTTTATCAGAATATCCGATAGCTACACTGTCATCAGAGTACTGGGTCATTCCCCACATCATTACCCCAAGATCTACACACTGAATGACTTGCAACCTCGGATCTGATTCTAAGATGCTCCCGAGGTCAAGACGAGTATCAACTGCAGGCTTGAACATCTTCTTCTGTGCTTTCTTAGTAATGGCTGTCGCAGAAGTGTGATCAGTAGCCTCCTTCAGCATGGCATCGAGCTCCTCACAGAGCAAGGTATGAGCAGACAGACTGTCTGTCTCAAGACGACCCAGTCTGTCATTAGCTACCAGTGTTATTGAACTACAAATACTCTTGATTTTCTGTCGATCCTTGGATTTCAAGACGTTGAGGTCGTCCTCGAAACCCCGCTTTACTGCATTGATTTGCTCGATGAGATTTCGATGATTTTCTTCCAGCTCTTTAGCCTTGATGCTGTAGGCTTGACTGACATCGTCCAGAAGTTTCTGCACGGCAATGTATACTTCATGGCGTTGTACTTCCACATTTTGAATGTTCTTCTCCAGTTCTGATTTCTTAGTGGCACATCGCTGGACAAGGTCGTTCACCTAAACAAAACAAAAAACAGAGAAGTGAAAAGAACATTTAGCTATGAAATGTAGCCACGTTTACTAACGCCTTTATACACCCCCTTCTCCGCAACAAACACCTTTTCTCCTTTCTTGATATTTGCAAAGAATAATGCATTTAAGTTTCAACAACATCAACAAAAGAAAAACACATAGTATTCCTCCCTTTTTTTGGTGGTAGTATTGGAATGTAGATCTCTTAAGCATATGTTTTAAGGCACAGAAGCATATTTAAAATATTCAAAGTTATTATTTCCATAAGACATAAGATACCTCATATTAAAGAGTTTCTGTAATACCAAAGTTCATATATAACTCGATAATGCTTATGTGAAATTGAAAAGTGTAATCAAGTATAGCTTGAAACACATCGGAAAATCCCAGCCTACTTCAAAAAAATGATTTGCATATCAGTGATCAAAAAGCGAGCAACATGAAAGAGCTTCATGTTTTCTCAAAGGGGTGTCAACATTGTTGTCTCATTGTTGTTTACTAGAGAGAAGCTTTGTACTTCGCACCCTATCCGTTTCAAGCTCAAATGCAGTAGACAGGGTTTGTACAATGATAAGAAACCTTCCGACTATTAAATTGCGACGAAGTCTAACGACCGAGAGTAAAAAGATAGCGTTTTGGAAATTTGAAACCGTATTTCAGAGGACTTTAAGAAAGCTTTTCTAGCTATAATATCAAATTATCATATGCCTTCTCCCCAATGTTTTTTTCTTCTTCTGTACAGATCAGAAAGGGTACATCCAGTGGTGTACGCAGGATTTTTTCAAGGGGGGGGGGGGGTGGTTTAACATTTTGAAATCGGGCCAAAAATTTCGCAACGACTCAGCCCGCCGCTGAATAAGCGGCGGGGGGGGGGGGGGAAGGAAAACATACCAAAGGGGGGGGGGGGGTTTCCTCCAACCTACACACATAAAAAAAAAATCAAAGGGGGGGGGGGGTTTAACCCCCCCCCCCCTGCGTACGCGCCTGCATGGGTACATCTATTAAAGTGCGATGGATTGTAGCGACCAAGAGAGAATTTTGAAATATGGAATGGTTACATTTTGTTGTTTAGAACGTCTATTGCTTTGCAAAATTATTAATGTCAAATTTGTTTGTCTGGCTTGGGAGGCAGAAATAACAAATCCACATTTGTTTGTAAAGATATTTGGAAATATGAGCGGAAGGGGGCAGAGACGAGTTGCCTCAACCCCCGAGAGGGGTAATAATATGCCCCCAGCTTTTGCTTCCTCAAAATAATAGAGACATGCTGTCTAAAGTATTATGATTGCAATTCTTTCTATAATTTGTAGAGCAGGTTAGCGACCAACAGCTGAGTAACTTGAGGTTTTGGAATGTTTAAATTCTGCATTTTAGAGAACTCATCTGTTGACAGGGCTTTTGCTGCAAAATATTTCTTGTCAAGTGGGGGGTGTATCTGATGCCATGCTTGTGGTGCCTATATTGTAGAAAGGGGTTTACAATAATAAAACACCGGGTCCAGCTAGTAATATTCGAGGAGCGTAATGAGCGAAATTTACATTTCAGAGCACTTGTACCTACGTTACCTTAAAGTATCCCAAGTCCCTGCCTAAATGAAACCATGTTTACCTTAAGCCGTAACTCCTGCTCAAAGTCAGCCTGATTCTTGATTTTGTGAATTTGATGACCGACGATCACGCACTTGAAACAGACGTGGACCTTACAATCCTCACAAAACATATCTTTGTTCTCTTGTTTGTGGATGTAGCACTTCTCGGATAGATGACTAATGCTGACCTTCCCGTTGATGATATCCTGTATGGATACAATCTCATGGGTCTCAAACATCAAGGACAAACCCTGATGACAGATCAGACACTGCTCACACAAGTAGCTGTTGCAGGTTTTGCAGAATGACACAGCCTCTTCTTGACGTTTGCACGCAGAGCATTTTGGACGCATCTGAAGGACAGCATTCATCCCTCCACATTCGACGTGGTAATCTTCTACGAGTCCGTTGACAGTCACATTGGTGAGGAAATCATCGACACGGTTCGCCGACAACTTGGTGACCTCTCTGCAGAGAGGACAGATCATGTGATCGAGATCCTGATGGGACAAGTCATAGTTCTTGAGACACTTCCGACAGAAGGTGTGTCCGCATGAAGTCAGGATGGTTGCCTCGTCGAAGATATCAAGACATAATGGACACGTCAGGTTCTCTGAAGAGCTTGTAGGTTTCTCTTTCTCAGTCTTCTCAGCCATTGGTACGAATATAGGATTTTTGGGCTTATTACAAAAATGATCTTATTCTACACATAATATATCCGTTGTCCAATGAAGCTTAAAAGTGTGATCAGCTAATGTGTACTTAAAGCCAACAGTCAGTTAATGAAAGCACAAACTATATGAAGTGATCAGTGATGTATAGTAGATTGTACCAATATCCTGAGTCTACGTAACAAGTGCGTCCTAACTGCAGGCAGTTCTATACCAATGTCTCACGTTGATCACAATATGTGTTGAAAGAGGTGCGAATAACATTGTTCAAAAGTATTGAGTCTCTCATTAGTGTATAATACAAATGTGATTGCAATGCTACGCGCACACTTATTGATAAGTAAATCGTCTGTGAAAATAATGCAGTTTGTGCATCCTATGAATAGAAGTGGGTTTTCCCACAGAGAGCGCGTCCAGCGTATTCACCTTTGAACTTAAGTGGCGGTATTCATCATTTTGATCTATAGAGGGCGACTTGTTTAGTTTCTAGTAGTGGATACATTGTTTTGGAGATCCAATTTATTATAATCCTAGATTCATTTGCTGTTATCACTTTGTTTGGAAGGGTAAAGGACGGTAACCACAATTACATTTCACCCCTTCTTTATCCACAATTCTTCCTTTATCTTCTTCCATCAGTCTCTCATTCTTTTCTCTTTCACTGTCAACATTTCTCTTGACGTATCAAAACCTACTTGGCGCCACTTATTACAATGCAAAATTCGCCTGTAAAAAATATTTCTCCACTTCCTTTTGTAAACATTGTATACAAAATATTTTAGATTAGGCTTCTAACAAATGATGATGTGAATCATGTCTGTCTCAAAGAGCTGATATCAAGAAAAGTGATATCAAATAGAATATGTAGGCCATATTGCACTGAAATATTAGTCTTCCGTGTTCAAAAGGCATTCGACGTATACAAGGGAACATCGTTGAAGAGAGTTAAATAATCTGTTTAAAACAATCTTTACGAATGGTGATTAGCAGACGACAGATACTGCCCCCAGTATTAGGTAATATAGGACATTGTCCATGTGTTCATTAAATGTGAACTAATCAAAATGTCCTTGATTATGTCAAATAAGTTGCCATATTTGTGTAGATTTTTGCGTGGATATCTCTTGTTTACCTTAGAATAAAAAATGGCAGAGAAGTGGATGTTGTAAGAACTATCGCATTCTGGTGTAGGCCTATGTATAAAATGTTAATCATCATGAACTTTTAAGTATGATTTTAATGAAAACTATTTCATAGTAAAGCACGTATTTAAAAAAGAAAAAACACACATACTAATCGTAAATCAGGAGCTTTAAAAAAACAGACAAAAGTTTAGAGAAATTGTTAAAAGCACCTTAAATGGTAAGTAGCAAAATATTGTACAGGCGAGAAAAAAAATGTGTTTTCTAATGATAACATAGTACTTCAATTATATTGGTTCTCAAAACTTTATTTTGATGCTCGAATTGAAATTAGACATCTCAACTGAGGCACTCACACACACAATCATTCTCTTTCCAAGTGTGAAGTTGAATACCAATGTGGTTACAATGGTAGAATCACACTTGAGTCGATTGACTGTCAATATCATGCAGTTTGTGCATCCTATGAATAGAAGAGGGTTTTCCAACAGAGCGTATAAGCATGCACCTTTGAACTTATTGACGGTAATCATTTGTCTTTAAATCTATAGGCGACATATTTAGGCTTTAAGTGATGGATACATTATGTTGGAGATCCACTTTAGTAGAATCCTGGACAATAGAGCAAGACGTTTCATGTGCTTCCATTACTATAATTGGAAGAGTAAACGACGGTAACTACACTCATTTTCACCGCTTCATTCTCCACTATTTTCCTGTTTTCAGTTCTATTTCTTTCTTTCTCTTCCTCTTTCTCTGTCAACAATTAAAGGACTCTTCCAGTGTCAATCAACAAACCGTGTGCATACAACAAAATAATGTACATGTAATTATAGGCTAGATTTGTAGGGTATACATTTATTTTATTATTATATTCTAGTTTTCTTTTAAAGAAACAAATCTCTTAATCTCCGTGTCTCCTTTTCTCTATCTTTGCCTCTCGTTCACTTTCCTATAAACCCCTGAATATTACGAAAGTCTATGATATGTGCAATTATCAACTCAGTAACAATGAACAACTCAGGCAGTCGATCATTTCATAATCTGAAAATATGCTGCTCTTGTTATTTTAATTTGCTTATGCTTGTAGCAATAACGAAGGAATATATTACAGATGGCGATATCAGCGAGTACAGTAATCTTACAGCAATATCCTGTGTCCATCAACAATTCCTTGTACTTACTAACAGCAAAAAACATGTAATAAGCTCCCTCTACAGCGTATACAAACTATCTAGTTCTAAATAAAAAGAGACAACAATTCATTTAAAATACAAAATGTGAACTTTTAGACTTGGTTAATCATATATTTACAAAACTTTGAACAAAACAGTACAGAGACCAGAAGTCTATCCAAAAAAGTCATAAGAATTGACCAAACAAGGTAAGACTTAGACCATCCATGCATTTCACGAAAAAAAAATGTCAGTGTCGGGAATGCCCTTGGAGTTTGTTCCCGAGAGCCCTAGAGAAGGGCATCCAAGTCGATCACATTGGGTCACCGCATTGAAAACCCATGCACCAAACTTTGTCAGGAGGCAGTTGAAGGTACATTACCATGACACAAACACTGGGAAAAAATTATCTTAGAAGAGGATGAGTTTTTTTCTCCAACTTATCATATGATAAACATAATGCTATCTTACCCTATTCTCTTTCTACCGTTACTAAGTTTAAAATGAGATATTTCAAATTAAATGTCACAAATCGATAGTCTGTTTAGATATAATTAAATTGAATCAAATTTAGTTAAACTGAATTCAAATCAATTTAAGCGGTAGATAAAATGGAAAATACAACTACCAAATACAGATAAAATATGCAAGGTAAAATTACCAACAGTAACTTTTGCAAAGATGTCGTAATATTCTTCATTTACTTAAAATGCTTAATCAAGCAACACAACTTCCGACTGTTAAGCGAAGCCTAATATTTGTTAAAAAACATTGTTCTTCTCAACAATATAGTAAACTAATTTTTCATACCATCAGTTCCCACAGCATTCAATTTACTGAATTTTCAGACAGGGAACGAAGTGAATACAAAGGAATTTGTAATGGAATGTAGCAATATTTTCACCATGATCCTTTAAGGCTTCTTATTAGAATTTGATATGATGTATTAGTCAAGTTCAATGTAACATACATACATAGAGTAAAATGATATCACAAAATAATAACAAAATATAATAATAACTTGACAGGATGACCATGAAAACTGAAAAACTTATTAACAATGGGTCATATTAACAAAGTTAGTATTAATTATTTCTTCATATCTTCTTCTTTCAAAGTTACACAATAATAACAGTAACAATCACAAAATATCAGTGCAAACAAAATAAACGTTAAAATACATGAGAAAAACGACACAAGAGAAATAATACTCATAAGAAGTTATCAATATTTGTTATCAATTTTCAAGTTAAACATACACATGTTTCAATTATTAAATATATTTGTGGCATTCCACCCAGTAAATAAGATCGATTGATCGATCTGTATCAATAAGGTCGATTGATCGACCTGTATTGAAAAAACACAAGTCAGAAAAAATCTTGGAACCAGCGGGATTTGAACCTGCCATCTACTGCTTGCCGGGCAGCGACTCTACCACCAGGCCATCACTGGTCCATGGCACAGTCACGATGAACTAGAAACAAATACCTAAGCTCTCCTGATTAATTCTGACTCATTAATATTCATTAGCCCGCCATAGGACAGTAACTTTTATAAATGTAATGCTTCCTGGGAGAAGTTTCAATTATTAAATATATTTGTGGCATTCCACCCAGTAAATAAGATCGATTGATCGATCTGTATCAATAAGGTCGATTGATCGACCTGTATTGAAAAAACACAAGTCAGAAAAAATCTTGGAACCAGCGGGATTTGAACCTGCCATCTACTGCTTGCCGGGCAGCGACTCTACCACCAGGCCATCACTGGTCCATGGCACAGTCACGATGAACTAGAAACAAATACCTAAGCTCTCCTGATTAATTCTGACTCATTAATATTCATTAGCCCGCCATAGGACAGTAACTTTTATAAATGTAATGCTTCCTGGGAGAAGTTTCAATTATTAAATATATTTGTGGCATTCCACCCAGTAAATAAGATCGATTGATCGATCTGTATCAATAAGGTCGATTGATCGACCTGTATTGAAAAAACACAAGTCAGAAAAAATCTTGGAACCAGCGGGATTTGAACCTGCCATCTACTGCTTGCCGGGCAGCGACTCTACCACCAGGCCATCACTGGTCCATGGCACAGTCACGATGAACTAGAAACAAATACCTAAGCTCTCCTGATTAATTCTGACTCATTAATATTCATTAGCCCGCCATAGGACAGTAACTTTTATAAATGTAATGCTTCCTGGGAGAAGTTTCAATTATTAAATATATTTGTGGCATTCCACCCAGTAAATAAGATCGATTGATCGATCTGTATCAATAAGGTCGATTGATCGACCTGTATTGAAAAAACACAAGTCAGAAAAAAATCTTGGAACCAGCGGGATTTGAACCTGCCATCTACTGCTTGCCGGGCAGCGACTCTACCACCAGGCCATCACTGGTCCATGGCACAGTCACGATGAACTAGAAACAAATACCTAAGCTCTCCTGATTAATTCTGACTCATTAATATTCATTAGCCCGCCATAGGACAGTAACTTTTATAAATGTAATGCTTCCTGGGAGAAGTTTCAATTATTAAATATATTTGTGGCATTCCACCCAGTAAATAAGATCGATCAATCGATCTTATTTACTGGGTGGAATGCCACAAATATATTTAATAATTGAAACTTCTCCCAGGAAGCATTACATTTATAAAAATACACATGTTTGTTACCATATCACTTGCATCTATTTATTGCTTCTCAAGAGGTAGGAACCTCTTAAATTCAAATTTATTAGAATGCCTGTATTTGTTGTTATTCTTTGATTTTGCAGTACCGATCTTTTGTTAAAAAAGTATATGCATAATTTACCTATTTGTTACATACTATTTCGATAGAGGGAATGTTCATGTTATTG